ATAAGATTAAAAAAGAGAAAAGAATCCTGTTCTACAATTTACCAACAGTGGGACCATGAGTCAGTTACATAACTTTCCTTAACCTCAGTTTCCTCATCTGAAAAACAGGGACAATAGTTAGGAATATATGGACACCTCGATTACAAAAGTATCCATAAGTGGCAATTTACATTATTGGATTCTTCTGAATTTTCACATTTATTCTTTAGCCGGACAATACCTTTAAATCATCTTTACAATTTCAACAGGCTAGTTTATCCTAAAAACATTTTTTCCTGGGCTCCTTCCTGACGTCCTGCTTTCTGTAACCATCGTCACAATCATAGGACATAAATTTACCCATTTCTGGGTGTGTATTTTCTTCTTTTGCCTATTTCAGTAATTTTAAAGCATCCTTATGAAGTCTGCCTCACCTGTATTAGAAAATGTAACTAAAGATAATCTCTCTATTTCTTACCTTGTTCAAATCATGCACTTCACTGTGTTTTGACCTTTCATACTGGAATCCCTCTGTCTCCCTATATTCCTGATAATTCAAGCTCTAAGATGGAAATCTTTATCCAAATATATCACCAGTTAAAAAACATACATATTTGTGTTCCTTTAAAAATCTACTGAAAAGATAAGCTACATTTCTTAAGTGCCTTTCCTGGAGGTGATATCCCTGAAATCTCTCCCCACCAACAACTTTCTTATCTGGTCTTGGGTCTTTGGGGGAGTTGGTTATTATGAGCCCAGGCAGCAATCTCGCAACTGAACTGAAGGGAACAAGTATTAGAAAAATACAGTGCAGCATCCTGATTGTTCAGAATTAAGCTGATAATTTACCTGTAAAAATTTCCAAAAGGAAGTTATTGTTGATTGGTCTAGTAACAAAATTATATGCAAAAGAAGTTTATAAATATTTAGGTGTCATTTGGAAACATTGATATTATTTTTATTTAGAATTAGGTTTCAAAAGAAACTTCAATTAAGGTTTTAGTTTAATTTAGAGAAAAAATATTCATTTACTTGAGTTGAAGAAAGGAAAAGGGTTGATTCAAACAGTTTTATCTAATTAAACTTTGGGGAAAGTATTCCATAGCTTTGCTTAGTATATTTTTAGATTCATAACTTACTGCCAGACATCTATTAATTGAACCTATAGATTTTTAAAAAAATTAATTCACTAGTTTAAGAAAGTTGATTATCCATAATTTACCTTATGTTTAATATCAATACAACAGGAATAGCAATCCCAAACTGATGAGGTGGAAAGAAAGAGGAACACTACGGGGAAAATGGGTGCTTCAAGGCAAGCGTAACTTTTACAAACCCTCCTGTCCGGTAAAATGGTTAAAAGACCTATTTGAGCATCACGTTGACTTCTCAGCAGCAGTGTACACCTATACGGGGAAGGATGTATGTTTTCCCCAGAGCAGCTTCTTCCTCTTTACCAGCCACCACGGCAGTGGCGACCGCTTCTGCACACGCACACATGACCCGCTGGTGCAGCCAACACTGAGGGCAGGAATCTCTGCAGCCCTGCCCTCACACCAGCGAGACGACTCAGTACAGAGTGCAAGAAACACTTCAACTCCAAAGCGACACCTCCCCTCATTTCCTTCGTTTGCACAGTCTAAGAATGTCATGTATCTTAGCGCTCAAACTTTAAAGCATAACTTTTCAAAAGAATAGATATTTGAAATTTACCATAATTATGGCATACTAAACATAGTTATGTATTTAGGCAACTTATGTACTTTAGGCGACCGAAGTTTAAAAGAGGAAAACACAGGAAAGGCCCAGCAAATAATCTGAGCTATGAGCAAGCGGATGTGGAGACCTGTGAGTAGCCGAAGGGAGCCCGCCTCACCTGTCAGTCCGCGGCAAACAACGACGACTGATGGACTCGCTAGGGAAAAGCCTCATTGGTACGGGGTAGCTGCCAAAAACTCTGGAGAACGGTGAAACAGTTCGGAATTTTCCACTGTCAATGTTCTACTATCTGAAAGGTAGGGATCATCTAATGGTCTGGACCAAGCGATACCTCCCAGGCACAGTAATACGAGTATTCCTGCCATCCCCCCGCGGGCTTGCATTGTGCTGCACCCTCTCACGGGCACAAATGCGATGGCGAATGCAGGCGCTGTGGAGCAGGGGTCCCCAACCCCCTGTACCGGTCCAGGGCCTGTTAGGAACCTTAGGAACCAGCGCGAGGGAAGCTCACGTAAGCTCCGCCTCCAACTCCCCTCCGTCTTCCACAAAATCTGTCCCTTGAGCTGAAAAGGTTGGGGACCGCTGCTGCAGAGAACAAAAAATACTGCGGGGTCGTAACCTCCAGGAAGAGGTGATATATGTGGTCGGTGCTAGGCATGCCGTAACCCCTGTGGGTTAATAATAAGTGCCTAATATAATTCCTCACAAGAGTTGGTATGCTGTAGTAAATGAGCTCTAGGGCCAGACAAAACTGGGTCAGCTCCAGGCTCTGTCTCTTACTTTGGTCAAGTTCCTCTAAGTTCTCTCAATATGAAAGACGAATATTCCAACTTCCCATAGAAAGGGCTGTTACAGGAATCACACAAGACTATGTTCATAAAACACCTAGAAAAGATCATGGCATATGACAGATGGTCAAAATATTGTGGCTGTTACTCCTGCCAGGTGCCTAACATTTCTTACATTTGAAGTGTCTTCTCTGAGAACAGGCATACTAGCAGCAATAGGATGGTCTGTTTAATATTAAGGCAATTTGCATATAGAAATGTTGAGCCAATAGACACTTACTCTGTGACTGGGTTAATTCCACAGCTAGGTATTCATCCAAGACAGGTCAAAACTGGCATATCAATACTAGATGTAGCTTTATTTGTAGCAGTCAAAAGATGGAAACAACCTGATTGTCTATCAGCCAGTGGGAGGATAAACAATTTATAGTATATCCGCATATAGGAATACTGCTCAACAATACAAGAAATGAACTACTGATACAGGAAACAACATGGATAGATCTCAAAAGCATTACAAGTGAAAGAAGCCAAACATAAAAGAGTGTATACTGGATGATTCTATGTGTTTGAAATTCTAGAAAGGTGTGATAATAGAAAATGGTGAAGTTGGGGGTATTGATAGCAAAGGGGGAGCGAAATTTTTAGGCTAATGAATATGTTTTCTTTCTTTTAAAAATGTTTTTTTTAATTTATTATTATTTCTTTTTTGGATAGAGGGGAAGAGAGGGAGAGAAACCTTGATGTGGGAGGAAAACACTGATCAGATCAGTTGTCTCTCTCACACACCCCGACTAGGGACCAAACCTACAAACTAGGCATATGTCCTGGCTGAAATAAAACCAGAGACCTTTTGCTTTGTGGGATGATGCCCAACCAAGTGAGCTACACTAGTCAGGGCTGTTTTCCTTCTTGATTGCAATGGTTGTGATTATACAAATGGATTGATTCATCAAAGCTTATTAAACTCAACTTTTAAAATATGTATGCCTATATTGTAGTAAATATTTCAATAAAGTTAATTTTATAAAAAACATACAAATAACTTTTAAACATACAAATAACTTTTAAACATATTTCAATCTCACTATAAATAGATAAGTAAAAATTAAAACTACTTTGAGACACTCATTCTCATCTATCATTTAGTGATAATACAAAAGTTTAACAATACATTCAGTTGATGAATTTTTTAGGAAACTAGTTTTCTCATACATTGCTGATGGGAGAGGGAAAAAAGTACAATTTCCACACAATAGTATCTGACAAATAGCATCTACCCAAATTACAAATGGACTAACATCTAACCCCACAATCTCATTTCTATGATTCTATCCTGTAGAAACACTTGCATATACTATATGCAAAGGACTAGAAACAACCCAAGTATCCATCAACACAAGACTGGTTAAATAAATTATAGTACATCACACAACAGAATGCTAGACTGACCTAAAGAATGAGGAAGATCTCCTTGTATGATATGGAAGAATCTCCAGGAGCATTTTAGCAAAAAAAAAAATAACAAAAAAAAAACAACAAAGAAAGAAAGAAAGAAACCAAGAAAGGAGAAAATCTGAATAAATATTTGAATATCTTATATTTAAATAAATAAATAATAGAAGGATAAGTAAGAAACTAATAAAAATAGTTACTAATAAATCAACTTGCTTTAAATTAGAGCAACACTGGATTCTTTGGAAATAATTTTGGTAAAAGTTACTGAAGTCCTGCCTGGAAATTCCTTCTTTCCTTCTCTCCTTCCCTCCTTCTCTCCCTCCCTTCCTTCTTTTCTACAAAAATGAGTTATTTAGCTACAAGGGGATTTTGGGAGACAGGAAGGCTACTAGTTCCTTGGCTGAAGTCAAGAAGCTCTGTGGCTATAGTTTCCCTGATACCTAAAAGGTCTGGTCTATAGGACTCAGGGAGTTACAGTAAAAACAAATTTAGTGAATGAGATGCCTCGGTAACATGGGATGTCATTCATCTTAAGTATGTAAGGGGAAAGGCTGCCCCCAAGAGCAGTCTAGCTCCTTGACAGGAATGTGTGAAATAGCCCCATGGAAAACACATCGCCTCTTGCTTCAATTTGTCTTGTGTTTGATCATTGATCACTTTGCCCACTACTTCAGAGGCTGATCTTGCTGACAAGACTAGACACCGTACACACTGAAGCCACATATCAATTGCCCAAGCCCCCACCAATGGTTGATTCTACTAATCAACTCCATTTTGATGATACCCCAGTTGGTTGCATCTTTGTAAAATTCTTCTTTTCTTTAAAGAGAAAGCCCATCATATTCTTCATATTAATTATTCCCAGTGGGAAAGAACTGAACAGAAATACAGGCTCTGAACCTTAATTTCTTCCTCGACTCTAATGGCTGAGCCATAGAAAAAGACAGGCAATAAGAAGAGAGTAGCAAGTGATCAGCACCAATTGCTCTGATATACTCTGTAAATCTGTGACTCCATTAAAAATTGAAAATCAGAAAGAAGAGAACTTTAAAATACCTGTACTTTCTGGTCAGCACCCACAGTTTTCCCAGTGGAGTGGTTTCCAAGTTGCTTACTTTCTTGAGATTCACGAATCTCTCCTTTAAGCCTTTCAACCTTAAATACAAAAGTATTTTAAATACTAAAGTTGGAAGGGTGGGGGACTTGTTTTGTTTTCAAAATATGTACGTAATACATGAACACATTCTTTGTGTAAAAAAAATTCAAACAACACATAGGTATATAGAGTAAAAAGTGCTATTTTCCTTCACATAACCTTAACCCAATAATCTCTCTCCCCTTTCCAGAAGTCACACTGTTTACAGTATACTGTTCCTGAAGTTTATCTCCCACATATATATGTATACAAATATATCAGACATAAATATATATCAGCATTAGATATTTAAATTTACAAAGACACTTTGAACATTCTTTGTTTATTCATTCTTTCTAATGATTACAATTTTAAATTTTGATAAAATATACATAACACAGAATTTACCATGCTAACACTTTTTAAGTGTACAGTTCATTACCATTAAGCACATTCACATTATTCTGCAACCAGCACCACCATTCACCTTTGGATTTTTTTTCATCTTGCAAAACTGGAACTCTATACCCATTAACCAGTAATTCCATATTCTGCCCTTTCCATAGTCCTTGGAAACCACCATTCTATTCTGACTACTCTAGGTACCTCTTATAAGTGACATCACATACTATTTGCCTTTTTGGGGGCTTGCTTATTTCAATTAGCATAATGTCTTCAAATTTCATCCATGGTGTATCATATGTCAGAATTTCCTTCCTTTTTCAGGCTGAATAATATTCCATTGTATTTCTATCCATTCTCCTGTCAATAAATACTTAGGTTGCTTCAACCTTTTGGCAATTGTGAGTAATGCTGTTATGAACATGAGTATAAATAAGTACCTGTTAAAGCCCCCTTTTTCAGTTCTTTTGGGTATAATCCAGAAGCAGAATTGCTGGATTATATGGTAGTTCTATGCTTACTTTTTAAAGAAATTGCCATACTGTTTTCCACAGTGGCTGTACCATTTTGCATTCCTACCAGTGAACAAAGATTTTAATCCCTGCACATCATCATCAACACCTGTTATTTTCTGTTATTTTAATAATAGCCATCCTAATGGCTATTTATTCATTCTTGGAACAAAAATTTTTGAGCACCTGCTATATATGCCAGGCACTATGTTACAAACATAGAGATACAATTGTGATATTAATATAAACTAAAATTGAAGGGATATGTAATATATCCAGAACTTGGAAGTACACATTAAAAATCAATTAATTGCTAAGGAGAAGTGGTTAAAAAATGTAACACAACTAAAAGTGTAGTATTAATAATCTCAAACATATTCAGTATAATAGAATAATAATTTCTATTTGGTAACTGTGTTGAGTGTAAACTATTATCTAAATCCCTGCTAAAAAGAAGAGATCATAAATTGACACAATAACAATAAGATTGCTGTTTAGCATAGGTAGTTAAGATGTACAGAATACACATACTGACAGCATGCATTCAAGTCAAAGTATGGCATTTTCCTGGGATGCTGGAGCCACCAGTATCCATCCTCAGTAATGACCAATAGGTGATGTATATCTTTATTGCTCTTCTGTTGGGTTGTTATTCTACACACATTTAAAATAATTCTAAGAACAAATTAAATTAAACAACTTACCACTTCCCCAAGCACTTTTTTTTCTGAGTCCAGTGATCGAACCCGAGTTCTTAAAGCCAGAATTTCCTCATTCAGTCTCTGATTATATTCCTTTGCTTTCTTTAGGTCAATTGAATCTAAAACAGAGGAGAATGCACTCTATTCAACTGGAACAAAGCTTTAATTTGGGGGCATTAACTCTAAAAACTGAGCAAGTGCTGTTTCCTGACTTTGTCATGTCTTTGAATCTGACGTCTAGCCCAAGCATATTTGATCAACCTAACAAAACAGAACAGAATGTTTTTTATTTCTCACACCAAGACTAGTGAATTGGACTTTTGTGTGTAGGATTTCCAGCAATAGAGTTTTTTTCCAGGATCCAGAATTTTAAAACAGTTGAGCCTATCTTCTAGAAGCTAAGTGATTAAAAAGAAAAATGAACTTCCTGGCTTCCTTATGGTCCTGTCTCTCTTACACACCCCACATACTCCTAGATACTTCTTGTCTGTTCACTAACAGCAGGTGCCCCTTAGATGACTGAAGTAGTGAACTAGGAGCAGCGAAAGAACACATTACCATGTTAAACCAAATTAACTCATCAAAGCCATCTCTCTGCTTGTAGCTACACTGCCATTAAAGCAGTAGTCCACTCTCAGTTTAGCACCTAATGTTAAGACTTGCTCTTTCTGGCACTCATCAAGGTTTCAATAATACAAACTTGCTGCTTGCAACTTCCCTGAATTTGTAGCTGTTTCTTTTTAGCTACCCATTTCTCTCCCTCCCTCCCTTCCTTCTTTCCTTCCTTCCTTCCTTTTCCTCCCTTCCTCCCTCCCTCCCTTCCTTCCTTCCTTCTTTACTTCCTTCCTTTCTTTTCTTTCTTTCCTGCTTTAAAGTCTTTGTTTTCCTTCTTCATTGCCTATTTTGTATTTAAGTTGTATTAATTTTTCATTCTTCATTTTTTTCTCCCTCACCAAACTCATTTTTCTCCTTAGTTTGTAAATTTTTTAAATTTGAAAAATGCTGAAAACACATTAAAAAGAAAATAAGTCATTCACAATCCCTACGTATGTAATATATATTCACAACTCATATATATAGTCAAAGTTTATTGAACTGAATGAACACTTGAGATATGTAGGAGATATATTAAGATATATATATACACATACATACATATATATATATATATATGAGAGAGAATACAAACAAGATTTGTTCTATCTTTGGCATATGCAATTTTTTAAATTTTTATTTATTTATTTTTAGAGAGGGAAGGGAGGGAGAAAGAGAGAGAGAGAGAGAGAGAGAGAGAGAGAGAAACATCAATGTGCTGTTGCTGGGAGTCATGGCCTGCAACCCAGGCATGTACCCTGACTAGGAATCGAACCTGCGACACTTTGGTTCGCACCCCGCGCTCAATCCACTGAGCTACTCCAGCCAGGGCTGGCATATGCAATTTTTAAAAATTTAAATAATGTTATACCTACTGTTTGCAGTGTTACTGCCTGCAACTTGACCACTTGCAAACATATCATGGGTATATTGACAGGACAATCTTTATAAAGTCATTTTTTATTTCTTATTTGGAACTATTTTTAATTGAGGTATAACTGTATACTATATAACATACATATCTTAAATGTTCAGTTCAATGAACTTTGACAATTTTATGTACCTGTGAACTTCCCCCCAAACAGACAAAGGACAGTCCCACCACCCCATACAGTTCCCTCACATCCTTTTCAGTCAGCTCTTAACTCCCACCCACCCTCACCTCCTGACTTCTGTCACCATAGGCTTGCTTTGCTTGTTCTTGGTTTTCACATAAATGGAATCTTACAGTATACATGTTTTTTGTGTCAGGCTTGTTTCACTCAATATATATTTTGGGGATTTATCTGTGTTATATCAATAATTTGTCTTCTTTATTCTTCAGTCCATCTTATTAATGTACCACAATTTGTTTATCCATTCTCTCATTTTGTTCTGCATAGTATGTTACTGTCCAAATGTGCTAATTCACTTAACCTCACCATGACTCGGTTTCTTCATCTGTGAAGTGGAGTAATTATACTTACTGCTTGGAATTGTTGTGAGGATTAGAGGGAATGCCTGTAAAGGGCCTGGTAGAGAAGTAGTAGTAACAGTAATAGTAGTAGAAATAGTAATAATAGCAGTAGTGGTGCTATTATTATAATTATTAAATATTATTTTAAAACATTGTTTAATGTTATATTATTATTTTCTGTATTATTATTAAATATTACATCTGCTGCCCTGGCTGGCGTGGCTCAGGGGATTGAACGCCAGTGTGCAAACCAGAGGGTTGCAGGTTCCATTCCCAGATCAGGGCACGTGCCTGGGTTGTGGGCTGGGTCCCCAGTTGGGAGTGTGCACAAAAGGCAACCACACATTGATGTTCCCCTCTCTTTTTCCCTCCCTTCCCCTCTGTCTAAATATAAACAAAATCTTTAAAATAAATAAATAAGTAAATAAATAAATATTACATCTGCTAAAATGACTTACCATTTTCTTTCAGTTTTATCAAATTGTCTTTGAGTTCCTCGATTTCTAGTTGAGCCTTCTCAAGTGCAGTATCTAAAAGAAAACAAAACCACAGGGTGGGGCCGAAGTAGGTTTAGAGTTGTTCATATGGAAAATAATATGATAATTAATAAATGATAATACAAGAATAAACTCTGTTTTTCATACTCACAACTGTAAACCTACTTTTGCCATCCCCGGTATTTGTGTTCAGAGCAAATAATTTGTGTAATAATCAAATTTCAAATAACTGGTGGGCCTCCTATCATGTCAGGATGAAAAATCTCCTAGAAGTAAAAGACTAATACAAATCTTATAAGAGATCATTCCTAATCACAAAGAAAAGGTACATGGGACAAAATCGAGAGAAAATCAGGCAGAAGCTATTAAGAGTCTTAAAGTTGGAGTCGCATGCAGGATGTGCTTAATTTCCCCAGCAAAAAAAAAAATTGACAATATGTGTGAAATGTCTACCAGGGAAATCCCTTACAGACTCAGTATCCAAGTTATTTACAGGGGGCTGGTCACATCTATGCATACATCATCTTCTGCATAGCGCATAATAAAAGTCCAGGCTCTCAGAACAGAAAGAAAGCAGGACTTCGGCATAAACCACACTGTTTGCACAAACAGCTTAGGCACAGTGAGCCACTTTTACATATGACATATTAAAAGACTTGCTAATTCAGCTTCCCAGCAGTCTACTCCCAGTTTACTCACTGTGGAGATAGATTTCAGCTAATAGCTTAGAACCTACCAGACCTACCAGCTGCTGATGGAGCAGGGTGCCATGTGACTGTGTTCTGTTGTGTGCAAATGTTACTGAGTAATGGGTGTACTGCTTTTCCTTTCTCCTGTATTGCAAGTAGCAAATACTGGTTCTCACACAGCCAGATCTCTTTTCTTTTCTTTTTTTAAAAATTTGGCTTATTGGGGTACAATTTGCAGACAGTAAAATTCATCCTTTTAAGTATATAGTTTGACAATTATATACAAGTATGTACCCAGGAATCCAATTAGGATATAGAACAATTCTATTTTCTAAAGTTTATTTGTATTCACTGTTTATGATGCATTCTTTAAAAAATCTCAAGCCTCCTGATTTTTTTTGTTTGTTTTTAATCTCACAATCAATTTGGCAGAATCATTATTATTTTATACATATAAAATTCTTTAGATGTGATCTTAAGGTAAACCATAAATGACATTTGAAAAGAATCAGTCTAATTTCTTCAATAATTGCAAATATAAATATAGAAAGGAGACAATTAAAAATTTTTAAATTTTATACTAAAATAAATTATAAAGCAATTATTATAAAGCAAAATAAAATATAAGCAGTTAAACCATAAAAGCACTAAAAAAATGAAACCTGAGGTGAACATTTTCAATAATATAGTGATAGAGAAAAGTCTTTACACATGAAAACCCAGAAGCCATAAAGAATAGCTCTGGCCCTGGCCAGTGTGGCTCAGTCAGTTGGAGCATTGTCCCTTATACCAAAAGAATAGCTCTGTTAAACATGACCTGACAAATATTAGCATTTCCACATGGCAAAAAAAAAAAAAACAACAACCCAATATCACATTTGTAACCAACATAAAGCTCATATCTAATATATATAAAGAACTCCTGTTCTGGCTGGTATGGCTCAGTGGATTGAACATCAGTCTGTAAACTAATAGGTTGCCAGTTCAATTCCCTGTCTGGACACAGGCCTGGGTTGTGGGGGTGGGGAGTCCCCAGTTGGGAGTGTACAAGAGGCAACTGATTGATGCTTCTTTCACACATAGATGTTTATCTCCCTCTTTTTCTCCCTATCATCCCCTATAAATAAATAAGTAAATAAATAAATAAATTCTTTTTAAAAAAAGAATTGTGCACTTCTTGGTAGGTATGTTATGACTATGCTTCAATAAAAATTTGTGGACACTGAAGAGAGTGAGGGTCTTTATCAGACTTTTACATATTTATCTGAAAAGATTATTTTCTCAAGGTGCTCATGTTTCACCTGAAAAAAAAGGTAATTACACTTAAAACATGGTAGACTTCTGGTCATAGTAGCATAGGTAAACATGGTTTACCTCCTTGCACAACCACATCAAAATTGCAACTATACTATGGAACAAACATCACTCAGATCTACCAGAAATCAAATTGAAGGGAAGTCTGACAACTATGGAATTAAAGAAACCACATCCATCCAGACTGGTAGCAGGGGATGGAGATGTGAAGCAAGCTGGTCCCACATCCATGTGTGGTGGATAAAAATTTTGGAGAGATATCTCAGGAGCAAGGAGTCCCAGCCACACACCAGGTCCATCAGCCCAGGAAGATAAGTACCCATAGCTCCTTGCTGCAAAGATCAGCAGAGACTAAGTCAGTGGAAGAAACTGCTGTGTTCTCAAGCAGTTCCCTTTAAAGAACCCACACATGGACTTGCTCGGACTCACTCCCTCTGAGCTCCAGATGGGGGTTGCTGCTTGAAAGGCACCAGTGGCATACAGGGAGGAAATGATGTGCCTGGCATGAAGGTAAGAGCTGGGGGATAGCTTTCTCCCACTCATAAAGATGGGCAGAGGCCACTGTCCCTTTTCTGAACCCTGCCCCAACAGAGCCAGCAGGTGGGTACCATAGCTGAGATTCCATCAGGTGGCTAACACTGTTTGCCCCACCCTGGAGATCCCCTGAGACTCCATCCCACACAACTTATGGCTCACTCAAGCTGTTAACAGTGACTTTTCCACATGAATGGCTGGTCTTGGCTAATGCTTCACAACTTCCTAAAACCTCTCAACTAAGTAACAGTTGGCCTCAGTGAGCCCCCAGTTCCCATACCTCTTACTAACTGGCCACAGGCCTGTCACTAGCAGCAGACAGCCTAGATTCACAGTTTGGCTTTACCTGGCCAGCACAAGTAGCAACCATCTCAGGTTGTTTTATAGCTTAGGCAGTGTGGTCCTGGACAGAACACAGGTGGGGGCTGAACTTAGCCTATACCACCTGGGAAACCCCAGAGCCTGCGCACCCAGTCTGACAGATACAGGCCATGTCAGAGCACCACTACCCTGTCCCTGCACAGCTGATCCTCCATGGGGTGCAGAGGTTGGTGGTCAGTGGTCACAGCCAATCCTTGCAGTAGAATTTACCTACCAAGAGCAACCAAGGCTCAACTAGAATAGGAGAGTGTACTCAGCCCACACAAAGGGTACACCTTGGGAACTCAGCTTGGTTGATAGAGGAGGCTGTGCCAATGGACTTCATAGGACACCTATTATATTAGGCCACACTACTAAGACAGGGAGTCCTAGCAGCTCTACCTAATACACAGAAATAAACACAGGGAGGCTGCCAAAATGAGGAGACTAAGAAAATGGCCCAAATGAAAGAACAGTTCAAAACTCCAGAAAAACAACCAAACAACATAGAAATGAGCAATCTATCAGATGCAGAGTTCAAAACAATGGTTAAAAGGATGCTCACAGAATTTAGTGCATTAAAAATATTCAGTCAGAAACAAAGGATACTCTAATTGAAATAAAGGACAATTTACAGGGTAACAACAGTAGAATGGATGGTCCAACATTCACATCATAGGGGTGCCAGAAGAAGAAGAGAAAGCAAGAAACTGGAAATCTATTTGAAAAATAATGAAAGAAAACTTCTCTAATTTGGTGAAGAAAATAGACATGCAAGTCCAGGAAGCACAGAGAGCCCCAAACAAGATAAATACAAAGAGGCCCACTCCTAGACACATCATAATTAAAATGCCAAAGGTTAAAGATAAAGAGAGAATCTTAAAAGCAGCAAGAGAAAAGCAGTTAGTTACCTACAGATGAGTTCCCATAAGACTGTCAGCTGATTTCTCAAAAGAAACTTTGCAGGCTAGAAGGGATTGGCAAGAAATATTGAAAGTCATGAAAAGCAGGGACCTACACCCAAGATTGTTCTACCCAGCAAAGATACCATTTAGAATAGAAGGGCAGATTAAGGACTATCTCAGACAAAAAAAAAAAGTTCATCATTACAAAGTCATTACTATATGAAATGTTAAAGGGACTTATTTAAGAAAAAGATCAAAACTATGAACAATAAAATGGCAATAAATACATATCTATCAACAACTGAATCTAAAAAACAAACTAGGCAAACAAGAATAGAGACAGAATCATAGATACAGAGAGCATTTTAATGATTGCCAAATGGGAGGTGGGTGAAGAGGTAAGGGAATTAAGAAGTACAAATTGGTAGTTACAGAATTGCCATAAGGATGTAAAGTACAGTACAGGAAATGGAATAGCCAAAGAACTTATATGCATGACCCATGGATATGAACAAGGTTGTGTGGATTGCCTGAGGGAGTGGGTTTGCTGGGTAGAGGGGGGCAAAGAGGGAAAATTGGGACAACTGTAATAGCATAATCAAAAAAATAGAATTGTAAGAAAACAAGGTCAGAAATGTTCTTCTGTAACTACAGCTTACCTAATTTAGTCTGTTCCTTCTCATTTCCTTGCAGTTCATCAGCGAGCCTTCGGATTTCCTCATGGGCCATCCTTAACCTCTTTGCTATTTGTTCCACATCTCCCTCTGTGCAGTTTTGTGACATTCCATCTTCTTCTATGTCTTTGTTATGGAACTAAAATAAAAGTATTGTTAGTAATAAAACAAAAAGTATACTCTTAGGATATTGCACTATTTTATACGTGTTTAAAAACCAATAAAGTAACCAACAATATTCATTTATATGAATCTTTTCATTAAGTTGAACCACTCAAATTTGGTGATATTTGATTATTTTTGACCTATAAACATGCCTGTAGTATGTGGGTTTTTGACTTTGTGCAGGAAAGATTTCACAATATGAGTCTGGGTGATTTTGATACTACATTTATTAATGCTGTTGACAGTAAACAAAGGAAAGGTTTAGGGTAGAAGTAACAGGAGAGAGCCTAGGCAGAGATCTGCTTTGGTTCCCTAGAAAAGTTACAGGTAAGGAGTAAGGTAAGGCAGGGCTGCTGTTAGGTCACTGGAAAGTAAAAGTCAGAGACAGAAGTGAGTCAAGGAGGGCTGCTTTTAGTTCACCAGAAAGTCAGAGAAAATGGGGGTCCCAGACACAGGATCAATGGGTAAGCCCAGGTCAAGTTGCTGCTGCCCACTGCTCCCTGGCTGCAAGTCTCCTTGGGACCCTCAGAGTTAGGAAATATTGTAAAAGGTTCATGCCCAGAAAGGGGTGTTGGTGTGCTCTACAGAAAGCCTGCCCTGAGTCTTTTTCCTGAGGGCTTTTTATCATTTTTCTGCAGGTGAGAAACTTCACCTGAAGCGGGAGGGCTTTGGCAGGTTATTAATCAGCTTTCCAGGTGTATTTTTAACATGCTGATTTGTCACAATGAGAGCATGGGGGGGGGGTGGGAATATTCTTTGCCCTGCTATACTTTTATCTTGAGTCTATCTGGCTTTTAATGAGGTTTTTGTTATTTGTTCCCCTGATTTCATCTGTCCTTGGGTTTAGCTGACACAAATGACATTAATTGGGCATCTGTGCTCTATGTCCCAGACCAGGGAAATTTAAACTAGGTATTCTTTGGTTAGGAAGGAGAGTTATAAACCATTCACTCAAGTGTCTTTGGTTGGGGAGATAAGCTCTTGAGATTCACAAGCCGGCTGTAAGTTGCTCAAACTGTTTGGCCTTGTTTCATTTTCTTGTCTCAGTTTCCCCATTCCACTTACCCAGGAATTTTTCTAGCTTCTTACTACCCCATTTCAAACTGATCATATTTAAAATACTGTGCTTTACTATGGAAGTGGCAGAGTGGGCTGCATGGTGAGGGGCGAGGGAGGAAAACTGAGACAACTATATTAGCAAAATCAATAAAATCTTTTTTAAAAGGAAAATAAATAAAATAATGTGCTTTACATTTTAAAGGACTCCTCAAAAGAGGAGCTTCAAACATATTTGGAAGGAAGTATGTACTGTCCCAGTGTGATTTTTCCACATTTTCCAAATGTGTATTATATCCTTACAAAATGCAAGAGTTTCTTCTTTCTTACTGCTGTGTAATATTCCATTGTGTAAATGTACCACAGTTTTTTTTATCCACTCATCTATTGATGGGCCCTTCAGCTGTTCCCAAATCTTGGCTACTATAAATAATGCTGCAATGTACATAGGGGTACTTATATTCTTTTGAATTGGTATTTTGGGTTTCTTCAGATAAGTTCCCAGAAGTGGAATTGCTAAATCTTACCTTTTGCAACAGCATGGATGGACCTGGAGAGTATTATGTAAGTGAGATAAGAGAGTCAGAAAAAAGATAAATACCATATGATTTCACTTATATGTGACATGAACAAAATAAACAATCAAAATAGAAACAAACTCATAGACACAGAAAACACACTGACAGCTATCAGAAGAGAGGGGGCTAGAGTGAAAAAGGTAAAGGGATTAGCAAAAATAAATACTCATAGAAAGACAGTATAGTGATTACAAGAGGGAAGGAGGCGTGGTAAATCATGACAGAAAGAGACTTGACTTTGCATGGTGAACACACAATACAATTTATAGGTGATGTAGTATAGAATTTATACCTGAGACCTATATAATTTTATTAAGCAGTGTTACCCCAATAAATTCAATAAAAATTAAGTAAGTTATGCTAATATAATATACAGTGCGGTAGCTATAACACTGTGCTGAAATATCTGTAAATTGTTGAGTAGACCTTAAAAGTTCTCATCACAAGAAAAAAATTCTGTAACTACATATTGTGATGCAAATTAACCAGATTTATTGTGGTGGTCATTTCTTTTTTTTTTAAATGTATTTTATTGATTATGCTATTACAGTTGTCCCATTTCCCCCCTTCTCTCCCCTTCACCCTGTACCCCCTCTCCCACCCATGTTCCCCCCCTTTAGTTCATGTCCATGTGTCATTCTTATGAGTTCTTTAGCTTCTACATTTCCCGTACTATTCTTGCCCTCCCCCTATCTATTATCAACCTACATTCTATGCTACTTATTCTCTATACCTTTTCCCCCCTCTCCTCCTCCCACCCCCCCCCCTGCTGCTAGCCCTCCATGTGCCCTCCATTTCTGTGGTTCTGTTCCTGTTCTAGTTGTTTACTTAGTTTCTTTTGGTTTTGCTTTAGGTGTAGTTGTTAATAATTGTGAGTTTGCTGTCCTTTTACTATACATGTCTTTTCTTTATCTTCTTTTCTTAGATAAGTCCCTTTAGCGTTTCATAAAATAAGGGCTTGGTGATGATGAACTCCTTTAACTTGACCTTATCTGAAAAGCACTTTATCTTCCCTTCCATTCTAAATGAGAGCTTTGCTGGATAGAGCAATCTGGGATGTAGGTCCTTGTCTTTCATGGCTTGAAATATTTCTTTCCAGCCCCTTCTTGCCTGTAAGGTCTCTTTTGAGAAGTCAGCTGACAGTCTGATGGGAACTCCTTTGTAGGTTACTGTCCCCTTATCTCTTGCTGCTTCTAGGATTCTCTCCTTCGTTTTTACCTTGGCTAATGTAATTATGATGTGCCTTGGTGTGTTTCTTCTTGGGTCCAACTTCTTTGGGGCTCTCTGAGCTTCTTGGATTTCTTGGAAGACTGTTCCCTTTGCCAGATTGGGGAAGTTCTCCTTTATTATTTGTTCCAATACGTGCTCCATCTGTTGCTTTTTCTCCTTCCTGTTCTGGTACCCCTATAATTCGGATGTTGGAACATTTAAAGGTGTCCTGGATGCTCTTAAGCTTTTCCTCGATTTTTTTGAATTCTTATTTCATCATGCTTTCCTGCTTGGTTGATTCTATCTTCCTTCTGGTCCACTGTATTGTTTTGAGACTCAGATTCCTTCCTTTCACTATTGGCTCTCCTCCGCGTATCTTCCTGCATCTCTTTTATGGTAACCTGCATCTTTTCATCTAAATTGCGCCCCAAATCAACCAATTCCGTGAGCTTTCTGATCACCAGTGTTTTGAACTGTGCATCTGATAGATTGGCTATTTCTTGGTCGCTCAAAAGGATGAGTCCTGGGGGACTGATCTGTTCTGTTGGATACATGTCTTATGTCTTTCCCTGTCTCTGGTCGCTCTTGTTACGGTGGGGGGTGGCGGAGCCTTAGGTGTTCACTGGGGCTGGGCACTCTGGTCGCTAGATTGTGATGTTATATGTGTGGGCGGGAGTGGGAGGGGACAATGGCAATAGTTTCTTTCTCCCGGGCTCAGACCCTTCTTTGGGATCCTGGGCTGCGAGCTCTGCCCTGGTCCACAATCGCTGCCTCATTGGGTCCCCCAGCCACAGCTTGCGTTCTCAGGGATCACCGCTGCGTTCCTGCGCCCCAGATGGCTGTCGCGCCGATTTTGCGCCAAACTTTCCCCAACCTCCGCGCGCTGCCGACCCACGCCAGCCCCGTGCCCGCCCGGCTCGTCGTCTCCTACCGGTCTGGATGTACGGGTTTACTTCAACTTCTTGGCTGTCCGACTTCCATACGGATAAATCCTGTCAGTTCTGAGTGATATTCTATCTGTAAATTATTGTTCTAATCTTGGTTGTGCGAGGAGGCACGGTGTGTCCACCTATTCCTCCATCTTGCCGGAAGTCTCTGTGGTGGTCATTTCTTGATATATACAAATATTAAACCATTATGCTGTGCATGTGAAATAATAAAATCGTGCATATCAATTATACCTTAATAAAAAGTAAACAAAATGGAAAAACATCCATAAGGTTTTATAAAAAAGTAATCGCTAGAGTTGATTCCTTACATATAATGTCCAAAAACAAGCAAAACTAAACTACTACATATATTGTTCAAAAATGCATGCCTCTGTGGGGAGGAAGGGGGCTGTGATCAGAAAGGTATATGAAGGAAGATTAGCAATGTTATATTCTTGACAGGACCAGTGGCCACATGGCTGTTTGCTCTACAACTGTTAAACTGTAGTTTTTAAGCTTTATAATTTTCTGCATATACATATTTCACAATAAAAATTTAAAACTCTTGATTTGTGGCATTAAATATCATCTCTTCATTCTGTTGTCCAACAATAGAGTGGTTAAATAAATTTTGATACATCCATTCAAAAGAGTATATATGTTGTCAAAAAAGACTAAGGCAAATCTATATGCACTACTATAGAAAGTAAAAACAATATGCATAATAGAATATATTTTCTATTTAAATGGATAAAATTTTTCTAGGATACATAAAAAATTGTTGGCAGTGGTAGCATAAGACTGGAGCTAAGGATTTGGGGGGAGAAGATAATTCGTTTCTCATTCAGTTTTATAGTGCTTGAATCTTTTTTACTATGTGCCTGGATTAAATCAGAAAACTAATAAATTAAAAACAGATGTTAAGTAAAATATAGTTAGTATACAGATCAGGACTTGTAATATTCCTTGGGCTTCCAAGTCATCACATGTGACCCCATTTTGGTTAGAATGACTCTCTCATCTACTTTATGCACAGGTAAATTCAACATTAGCCTATGCAAAACAAAACTAGGGAGGTAATGAAATGTTTACAAGTTATATTTCATAACATTTGATAATAAAACCTGTCAAGTATTTGTCTTAATTCTTTCTGTCCATTATTAGGAAGACTATGACCTAATGGTGAAAGGGTAGATAGGATT